TCCCATACACGAGGAGAGAACCTGAGTAAGAACAACTTAATTGCTACCGGTTCTCCTATCTCATCAGGTGATTTTTGTTCAGTATCAGACAACAGAATATTTTTTTCCCCTGCTTTCTTCCTTCCTTTAAAGCTGCCCTCCTCCCACCCTCAGCAGGTGAGACAATGCGGTGCTTAACTCACAAGTACTGGGCATTTCTTTGCCAACACTCCCCATCCATAGATTATGCACAAAATTGGAGATGTCAAAACTCCACCCATATAGACTTGCTGATCAGCTCTCCCTTCCCCTGACAAAAATATCTTTATGAGATTAAAAAAAAAAAACCCGCCCACTGAAGAATGGTTCTTTCCCCTCCTACTCCCAACCTGGGGATCTGCTGCCAGATCTGTCAGATTTGGCCAGAGAAGTGAGGAGGTGGCTTTGGGGCACATTGGGAGAGAGCCCTGACTTCCTCACTACCAAGAGGTGAAGGAGCAAGGGAAAGCATATCCACTGCAATGCAAGTGATCAAAAAAAGCAGGGCAAACACCTGTCCCCTAACCTATTGCAATATTGGGCACCACAAATGGACCACACTGCAGGGCTTGTGCCCAAAGAATCTAGAGGACACCACTTTAAAACTAGAGAAAGAAAAGACCACGAAGCACAAACAGGGGTAATTTGAAGATGACGTCATCCATTCATGTCCTCCAAACAGTGCTGCTGAGGCATCTAAAAACTGCAGTTAGCAGTTCATGTGGAACAGCCCAAAATTAACATTTAATCCTTCAGACAAGTGGGGCTCAATGTCCACTACTGATGCAGTCAGTAATCTTTGCTATCATGATAATATATATTGAGTCCTTCAGGAAACTCTGGTAACCTTTTCTAGGGTTTGAAAAGAATTAATGCTTACTCCTATATCCTTATTTTGACTGTGAAAACGTTGCACATCATTGCTATTTTACAAAGCAGGATTTGTTCTCCAAGGGTTGCAGGCTGACAATAGAATTCTAATTGAAATGGTATGTGGTTTGCTTTTAGTACAACAGATATTGAGTCAACTTTGAATGTAGAAGACAGGGAAAAAGAGAAGGCGAGAGGAAGACAAACTTCAACAAGTTGTTGTAGAGAACACTGGCTATGTTCAGATTTATGAGAATAGCTATCCTTTAGAGCCAAATGCAGGGGAGGTTTTGTCCAGATGAGCTACTGAAGGAATCATGGCTAATGTTTTATTTTTTTATTTATCTTTGCACATAGTATGTCTTTTATAACTTCTCCAGCTTGTCTGGTGGAAGTTGGAAATATTTGAGTATTAATGTGAATGCAACATCTTTCCTTTGTTTATACTCCCCAAACTGTTAAATCAGCTAAGAAAAAATGTAGCAAAAATGTAGCATGTGGCAGAATACCTAGCCTGGATTATTCACAAGTGATAAAAATTAACTAAAGATGACTAGCAATCATCCAAAATTCCCATCCAAAGAATTATTTCCTAAATGTTGGGAGCCCAAATCATCCAGCTTTCCTTATTTCAAAAATGGAATGAAAAACTTGTTAGCATCCATGGGCATTTCTTCCCTAGCTGTGCAGAAGTGATTGTGCCTTTACAACAGCCTTTCCCCATTGGACATCTTCCAAATCTGTTGGATTATAACTTTCAGATGGTATGGGTGAAGACAAGTGCTCCTGGAGGCATCTGGCTGAGAAAGTGTGCCTTGGGCATCAAGGACAGTTTGCTGCCTTGGACAATAACTTCTGGGTATTATCTAAAGATTTAGGAGGGATGGGGTCAAAAAGAAAAGATGAGCTTCTAGGTTTGTTAGCATATCCAGCTAGCTTCTCCTAACTACAAAACATTTCTTTTTATTTGGAATTCAAGACAGAAAAGAATTTGCAGAATCAGTTTTGCTGGGCCAAGAACACCCTGTTAGCTTAGGAACTGGTTTTCACCCTGTTTGCTACTGTTCTCATCACTTACTGATTCGCAGCTGAGTTCACACCAAGAACATGACCTGACTCTGGACCTCTTCTGTAAGTCTGCAATAACTCTTACAGGTCTGTTGGCCGAAAGCAACTTGTGATAAGCAGCAGAAAAGTAATTTGGTATCTTTAGAGTTCCAAAGCCCTGAAGCTGCCATTTGCTAAACTTCTCAGAATTAGTACAGCTGCACATGTACAGTTAAAAAGAGAGGGCACAGAAGCAAGAAAGAACACAAATCCTAGCGCTCTTTTTCAACTTTGCATCTCCATATGTCTGCAGAATAGTGCCAGAGTTATGAGCCAGTGACAGTTTAATAGCATCAGATAAGCCCTTCCCAGGGAGGAGTGGGGAGTAAACAGCATAGTTGTGAGGCTGGTTATCTACATAATTGCCTGTGGATATCTGGTAGTACCCAACTCATCTTGGAAACTACTTTTTTCCCCCCAGTACAGGTAGTCCTTGACTTACAACCACAGTTGAATCCAACATTTCCATTGATAAGCAGAGCAGTTATTAAGTGAGTCAAGCCCTATTTTACACCTTTTTGCCACTGGTCATTAAGTGAATCTGGCTTCCCTCGTTGACTTTGCTTGTCAGAAACCAGTTGGAAGGTTGCAAATGGTGATCACAGGACCCTGGGACACTGCAATTATCAGAACTTCATGCCAATTGCCCAGGGCCTGAAATCTGACCACTGGACCATGGTGATGTTGCAATGGTCTTAAGTGTGAAAATCATTCATAAGTCACTTTCTCAGTGCCGCTGTAACTTTGAATGGTCACCAAACAAATGGTTGTAGGTTGAGTACTGCTTACACCCTGAAGCCCACAAGAATCCGGGGTTCCAAGAAAGAACATTTCTCAGGTTAAGGACAATGCCCATTTTCTGTGGGGAATAACAATGTAGAGAATGCAGAGATTCTGAGGCAGGGGTTTCTCAGCCTTAGCCACTTGAAGATGCATGGACTTCAACTCCCAGAATCCCAATTAGCGCATTTGATTCTACTATTTCCATATACTGTCTTGTTATTTTATTTCTTTATTAAACAAATTTATTGGCTGCCCAACTCATACATGGTGACTCTTGGAGACCTTAATGTCATCACTATCAGTTTTTGAGTGTCTCATTAACTCCACCCAGTCACAGCTGCCCAGTCTTTCCCTTCCACTTGGCTATTCAGTCTTCTTTCATAAATTCATAAATAAATAAATCTTCATTTATTCTGCATAATATACAATCACACCACCTCAACATACTTCTTTCATGCTAGTTACTTTGCACTACTTCCCCAAAATGTTTCTGCCTCTACAGTGATGTTCATTTGGAGGAAAAACTGGGTGTGCAGCTAACGAGTAGGCTGACTTGGTCGCTCAACAGTGAGAAACTGGTGAAGCGGGCACAGCAGCGCCTGTATTTTCTGCATCACATGAGAAAAGCACATCTTCCTTCCCCTGTCCTGACCACTTTCTACAGAGGGACAATCGAGAGCATCCTGTCATACAGCATCACAGTCTGGTTTGGAGGCATCACTGCTTCAGACAGGAAGGCAGTGCAGGGAATGGTGAGGATGGCCGAAAAGATCATTGGCAGTTCCCTCCCTCCCATCCAGGACATAGCACAGAAGTGTTGCTTGAGCAGGGTCCGTAAGATCATCTGGGACACTACACATCCTCTTCACAACCTGCTTTCCTTGTTATCTTCTGGGAGAAGGCTTCGTGGTATCCGTAGCAGAACATCCAGATTCAGCCAGAGTTTCATTCCATACAGCATTAACCTTGAGAACTCTCAAGCTTCCTCCTTCTGTTATATATTCAAGATGGACAATATTTAATATTTATTTGCTATGTATATGTAGGGATGTGGTCTGTACATATGTTGTTCATAGTATGTTTAGGTGTGTGTCATGTATGTGTTTTACTTTGAGAGCCGGCAACTAAATTTCATTTTTGATGTGTGCCATCGTGCCCACAGTATAAAAATGACAATAAAGGTTATCTTATCTTATCTTAGTTATGTTTGCATTCAATCAAGATTCATTCAGAACCTGAACGTTTTAGATCCCATCTCTTCTCTTGCTACTCATACGTCTTAAGGAACCCCTTTCCATTTATTCAAGGTTTTTCCCCCTGATATACTCAACTCTTGCTTCCAATACAATAAAGCAGGCAAAACTCACTTTCACTGCTTATGGCAAACAAATATACCTATCTTTCTATCAGTATTTTCATTTATTAAAATCACTTCATCCTATTAAAGTATGCAAATTCATCTAGCTGTGTTTTTTTAATCACTTAGTTGTAATGTTTAATTATTCACAATCAACCAGCTTGATCTTTCATACATTACACTTCAGATCCATATTCCTCAAGGCTAGCCTTTGTTCCAGGACATTCCGGTTCACACCCAACAAAGTGACATCACCCTGCATAAGAAAGTGCCCACGCATTCCCAACAAACAAATATTGCCACAAGGATTCATATATACTGCACAAAGTGCTCTTTTCTCTAACTTTTCCCCACAACAGTCTTGTGAGGTAGGTCAGGCTGAGGAAGAGAGAAGAGAGAAGAGCAGATGAAAGAAAGAATTGCTCACCCAAAGTCAACCTCTCCTAGCCAAATGAAGAGTGAAATCTGATCTTCCCTAGCACTAGGCTAACGCTAAACTGGCCATCACTCCCAAGTGCCTCTCAGTTGTAAAATGAAAGGAAAACGAATGGACAAAGTTACTCCGTTTGGTCCATTCTTTTCTTCCATGCAATAATATGGTATTTGGGCAACTCCCGATATTTAAATAGTTTTAGATTTAATCATGATAATTAAGGGATACCTCCTCTGGCCTGTCTCTGAGTTTGCATGCTGGGCACAGGCAAGGGGGGGGGGCAGTTCTTCTTCCTCTTTGTGAATTTCCCCGTAGGTCCTGTGTTGGACCCCAAATGCAAACGCAGAACGGAGGTCCTCCTAAGATCCTTACGATAAAACAAGCAATCGAGCCCTTTGCTCTCCACATACAGGGTGTGCAAAGAGAATCCTCCGGGTCGGGTATTTTAATGTGTGGACGGATCGATAGCGAACGAGGTTCGGTTTAGAAGCTTGGACTGAAATGCCCGTCTGCTTGCCTACCTTTCCAATGCAGCAGTCGGCTGTGGGGCAGCCCGAGGACGGAAACTGAGACCCCCACCCGCTCTATCTTCTGTCCCTCCCAGGATCGCGTAAGCCCCGCTTGGCGCTCCTTTGGGTGGGGGGACTCAGCAGTGAAGCAGTTAAGGCACGCCAGCCGTAGCTCCAGCCCCCGGAGCCAGAGCCAGCGTGGTGGGGGGATGCTCCTCCGTTATCCTGGCTTCCCCAGGCAAAAGTCACGTTGCTTTGGGCAGGAGAGGAGTCGTGAAGCGACCTCGGGTTTAGCATTCTCTTTCTCCTCCTGCTAAAAGCGGTGGAAGGATGGGGAGAGTCCTGCCTGGAACAAGGGACCAGTTCGGGCAGCGTGTAGAGAGCGCCGAGCGGGACTTTCCAGCGACAGCTCCTGAATAATTGAGAGCCAGCAGCCACTTTGCTGCTTCCCAGGCAGCCCAATTGGCACAGCAGCTCTGGTTTACAGCTCCTGATCTGGACCGGGATGGGAGGAGGTCGCTTTCCAGCTGAAGAGCTGCAGGAGGCTCATCAGGCAAAGAGAAGAGGAGGGTGACACAGCTCTGAAGGCAGCCCTGTTGGATCCCCATATCTGCTCCAAACGTTGTGCCCATTGCCTTTCATTGCCACTTTGTAGCAACAACAGCAGAGTGCACTCCCGGCCACCAGCCCACCATGGCCTTGATCGTGCGTTTGAAGAAGGTCACCAACCTGAGAGGCAAAGCGGACAGGATAGCCAAAGTGGCTTTCAGAGGTACATGCCCCCCAGTTGTGTAGCCTGCAGCAGAGGTGCTCTTTTTGATGCTGCAAGATAGGTGCCTGTTTGTGTGCCAGACTGCATGTCCCAGGGAAGGGAAAGTTCTCTGCAGAGGAGCCTCAACCCTGCAGAACAAGGGCATGACTCTGGGGAAGGATGCTCTCACTCTCCTAGTGTTTGGGCGGCTTCATTCTGGAAAAGAATAGCTCGTGCATCTATTTTGCCTGGACTAGTGCGACTTGGAGTTGTGGCTGTTGTTGTTTAACTGGCAGGTTCTGGAGTCAGCAAGCCCTGGTGATGCAGCTCCTTCAGTTTGGAACCACATTACATCTGAAAAACCCTCATAGGTTCCAAGCCAAAGTTTTTCCATCCAGTTAAGATCTGAGGACTGAGTTAGTATGTTATTGTTGTCTATGATTTGTTTTCTTATTCAAAGAATGATTGTGCTTGCAATTACACAAGTAGACATTTTTGAGCTTTCGAATGAGGACAGACAGGAAGAAGAAGAAGAGTGCCAATAAGAACTTCAGGGTCATTTTAAATCTCACATTTTTTGAAAATGTGTAACATGTGGCACACTCCTGCATCTCTGCAATGCTTCAGACATGGCAAGGTTTTTACAATGAGATACCCATCTGGTGGAAATAGCAAGTGAATTGTGATAGGGGTTATAAGCAAGTTGCCTCCTAAACAGCAGTTTGTCAGATCCTAACACAAGAATTGGCAGAAACACTTCCCCATTTTGAGCAGAGCGCTTTCTCAGCTTTTGCTGGAGATGCCAGGGTTGAACCTGGAACCGCTGGCATACAAAGTATTGCTTTGAGTGTATGCACACAGCTTTGAAAGATGCACATTGCCACTGTTCTCTACTGAGTGCTCACTATATATAATAATCCACATTGTTTTTATATAGCACTGCAGAAAGTTAGTGCTCGCACTAATGCTGATTTGCAAAATGTAAACCTTTTGATCTTCATGTTGTCTAGGGGAGTGGAGTTAGAGCTGAAATTGGAAAGAATGGCTTGACTAAAGTTATGGTAAACTTATTTTCCACTAATCATTTATAGCATCGTCTAATCATCACTGAGACAATATAACACCTGCCCCCATCCCTGTTACATTGGCAGAAAAAGAGTTGAATTATACTAAAGGACAGTATAAATGATTACTGGAGAAATGGGCTATGATTTGTAGTTGATATAAAATCTGCTCTGACTTTTTTCAATTTATATGTTCTATTAGAATCACAGCTATTGCATGACACCTCCATAGAGTGTGCATTTAGTATACATGACAATATATGAACAAAGAATGTTATAATTATTATTTCTGAGATACTATATCAAATAATATTGTTCTTCTCACATGGAAAACATCCTGGATTTAAAAATGAAATGGTTTGCATTTTCAGGTGTTTGTTTTCTAAAATTCAGAATCAGCTGTAAGAGAAAATAATGCATGGACCTCATCAACTAAAAAGAAAAATCAACTTGATTTTCTGATGATGTCCAAACAAGTTAAAGAAATCCAACCCTCATTTCTTGATAGTTGTTTAACTTCTACACCAGCTTTCCTTGTGTCCAAGAATATAAATATATTTATCTGTAAACTATCTCAGGTCAGGTCAACCAGCCGTCAAGAATAAGTGGAAAGCCTAGCAAAATTCTAAGCATCTTAGAATAGAAATATTATGCCAGAAACACAATCTGGAGACTTTCTGATAAATTGAATTAGACATATTGGATTAGATCCTGAGTGTATTCGATTGGAACACTCCTACTTAAATTATCTCCTTAGACCCCACATCAGTTCCAATCAACACATCTGCTGCCCCAATTCATTATAAGGACCAACCTTTGTCCCCTTCCCAGCTTTGAGCAGAAATAAAACTTGGGAAAAAAAAGAATTAGAAAGAAAATAATTGATGAGGAAAAAAGAAAAAGAATGCAACCATATGGGTTTAAGGAGTATTTCTTTACACATATTTTAATCTTAACTGTTAAAAAATTGTGGCTTTTTATTACACTTTTTAAAAATAGATGGCTGGTGTGATAGGAATGTTTTTATATTTCCTATTTCAAAAACATTGTGCATGCCTTGTGTGTGTATGTGAGTGGTTCTTAAATGCCCATTATCGATTCTGGACACAGGCTTCAAGGATATTTTTCTTTAGTAAAAGACAAAAACAGCTGCAACTTGCACATCCCCTACATCTAAGGTCAAGGATAATTTGCAAACAAGATCTGTAATGTACAATGGCACACTTGTTACATATGAGGATATGGTGAAGTTGCAGTCCTAATACTTAGAACTTTTTACAATATTGATGCTGATTCAAAATATTTTTCCCAGTTCTTTTTTTTTTAATGCATCTTGAATTTTGGAACCTAGCCCCCCCATTTAGTCTATTCGTGACAGATTTTACTCCAGTGCAATCTGAAGCTCTCCCTCAAATGGTTCCTGCTCACAACTTAGTGCCATGAGATTTAGTGGTACTAAATCTCATGGTACTGAGCCATTCTTTCCTCATCCTTGGAAATAGTTTGAGGCATATTGCCCCATTCAGAAAATGCAGCTGCTCCTTGAGGTTGATAGTTGATAAAAATAATCTTGTGGCATGAAATCCCATCCTTGGCCTTAAAATACTGTTCTCTACTTATTAAAGATGAGGGAGGGACATTCTGGATATGTGCAGAGGTACTCCTGTTTTTATGATCACGTTTGCCAGGGCAAATGGTACAAAAAGAGTTCAGGGCTAGATCAAGAAAATCCTACAGCAATCTATCCTAAATAGACAGTTTCATCTGGAGTGTTGTGCTGGGGAGTAAAGGAAAAGCTACTTGTCTTGTCCATGTGATATAATACCATCTGATGAAATAAGTAAGAAATTAGCAAAGATTTTCCAAGTTTTGAGACCAATCAACCTACCATGGAAGATTCTGCCAATGGTAACAGAAGTAAGTAACCACAATAGGAAATTTAAAGCCACCAAACCAAGTCTTGCCCATGAAATGTGCTGTCTCAGGCAAAGAACCAATAACCAAAGTCATTATCATCTAGGGCTATCCCAAATGCAATGGGGAATGCCTCTGTACAGGAAGTATCCCTGGAACTATTTTTGATGTTATACAGTAACGATGACAGGATTTTATTTATTTAGTATTTATGTTTAATTTTTTGTGGAGTTCTTGGTGCTCTCTGAGTTTGGCTGTTTGCTTGCAGATGTTTCATTATCCAACTAGGTTACATCATCAGTTCAAGAGAGTGTGGGATTTGTTCTGGTTTCTGTGCAGTTGCTTGCCCTGCCAGTGTTGGTGGGGGTGTGGTTTTCTCCTTGGTAATGCCTTGGCTGAAGTATTGTTTTCTGCTTGATTGTTTGTCTGGTGTTAAATCCCTGTTTATCTGAGTATTGGCTGCTGGAGAGGATGTGTTCTGGAGACCATGTGTTTTGTTTATTTTCTGCATGCATATATGTAATATTGAGCTGCAAACTTAGAAGTTTTACAGAAGAGTGGCATCACTATTTACACATAATAAACAATATATTAGTTTAGCATTTAAAATGTGCATGTACGCGCCCTACTGGATCCTTTCCCTCATGTACCCAAAGTCAGGAGTCCCCAGCCCCCGATCCATGGACCAGTACCAGGCCACAGCATGCCAGCAACCGGGCCACACAAACAAGCAAAGCCCCATCTGCAGAATGCAGGCAGCACACAAAACCACATCTCCTATGGTCTGTGAAAAAACTCTTGCCATGTAACCGGTCCCTGGTGCCCAAAGGATTGGGGACCTCTGCCCTAAGTCACTGCAGTTATTAGTCTAGGCATTTATTTCTTTTCCAGATTCAACTCCAGACAAATTGTTGGAGCAAGAAACAGCAGGGGTCCAAGACTGAAAATGTGTTCATTACTTTCTCTTATTTACTATTGAAGTCCCTCAGTCTGATGCTTTAAATCAGTCTTTGTGGGGAGCTTAACAAATTCACATGACTTACCTAGATTGGTGGCGGTACTTAGCTAGCCTTGGCTGATTTCAGAAAGTTAAGCCAGGGCAGATCTGGTTAGTCCTTGGACAGGAGACCACCCCAAAAATACAAGGGTGGAGGCTAGATTGAGAACTTTAAAACACATCCTGGAAGTAGACAGTAATAAACCTTGTCTAAATTGTTGACAAGAAAAGTACATAGATATGTCCAAGACATCACTAGGAATAGAACCCTTACTTTTACCCCTTTCAGGGTTAAGTTATGCTTAACTGCCACAATAACCTTTTAATTTCTGCAGCTCCAAATAATAATACAAAAAAAATTATGGAGATTGATCTGCTGGACATAGCTGCATGTGTATATTTGCCAGTCTCATCAAGTTTGCAGATTACTAGAAACTGGTGGCAGTAATATTGTCAAGATCATTTTAACTAATTTTCCCTTTAGGAGATTTTTCACTAAAATTATTTTCCATAGGCCTGTATTTCTTGTACAGAGGAAAATTCATCAGGAAAAATGTTTGAGCAAGGACACATAAGCAATAATGATTCCATTGTGGTCTTTTTGTTGTAATTTTTGTAAAAGAACAACAATAAATCTTGGAAGAAAGATACAGGCGTTTCAACAATATGTCTATCTTGGCACCAAAAAAAGATATGCTAGGCAAAAGAAAAGATTAGATGTTAGAGATGGGGATTTTTTTTAGAGGAAGATGATAATGATGATGATCGATTGGTTCAGATTCCAAAGCACTAGATAGATGTTAAAATAAGAATTTAAATTATTTTGACTTAAAAGTACCATGCAACTTGTTGGATCTGGAATTTTTTCTCCTGCAAAAGGCTAAATGGCTTACTCTCTACAACTGAAAACCTCTGCATGTGAAATTTGATCAACTTGCTGAAAGAATAGCATACTAGTTTTTTTCTTGTAATTCATTGAAGTGAATCCAACTGGATGATGGGGAAATTGCTACATGCGATCCAGATGTGAGTTTCTAAAAGATACA